TGTTTATTACTGTATAAATATATATATGTATATATAAATAAATATATATTTATTATATATATATTGATATAATTATAAATATATATTTATTTATATATATGTTTATTACTGTATAAATATATATATAAATATAAATAAATATATGCAACATATATATATATTTTTTTTTTGTTTTATATATATATATATATATATATAGTTTTTAGTCTTGTCATTTGGATTAAATGTCACAGTTTTTATAACAGAACATGTGGATGCAAATTACACTTCTTCTCATTTCTTGTTTCTGAAATACTTTCTAAACTCAAATGCATGTCCTGCTCCAGCGTATTTAGTTTATTTTAGCTGTCCATTATTAATTTCCACACAAAATAGTGAATAATCATCAATTGTGAATAAAGGTTTTGCTTTTAAAACTTTGGTTAAAATGGTTTTGGTCTTAAGTCATTATAACAATGTAGATTCACGAGACTTTAGGTCTTTAGGTAAAAAAATCTCTACAATGTATTTACAAACTACCCCCAAAACTCAGGTTATGTGTTTTTGTGCTGATGGAAAGTATTTTCCCTTAGTCTTTTGTTATTGCAACCCTAATTATTTATTTTTCTGTTGTTGCAGTGCTTTAGCTCTATTTGTTTTCTTAATAGCCTATTATATCCACCCTTAATGAAGAAAACAAAGTCTTCATATTCATTTTCTTTCACAAATGCTTAAAATCCTCAAAGAACTTTTTATTACATTTTTTACTCTCTGGTTGTTTTATATTTCAAGGTGTTTTTTTTAGTTTTCTTTCCTTTTTTACTATTTCATCTTGCGTCCCCTAACACACTTTTTTGTGTTTTTACAGTAATATTTGTCTGCGTGTTATATATTAACGCTGAACATATAACATTTTGATATGGTTTCCTTTTAAGAATCCAGACTCTGCGGGCAATGCTTTCACCCCCAACTTTTAACACAAGGCTGTTGTGTTTAGAACAGTTTGCATTGTTAGTTTGTTTATGTTGACCTAAAAGTTCAGTTTTGGTCTCATCTGACCAGAGCCCCTTTACCACATTTTTTTATGCCCCTTCTTAACCAATGTAGACTGTTATTATTGCTTTATATGTCTATCTTTTTACAACGCCTTTCTTCTCACCTTTAAATCAAGAAAGCTACATTTGTGGAGTGTATGAATAAACCTTTTAATTTCAGATTATGAATTAAACAGGGCTATATGACATATTTAAATCTTTGGATGTTGTTTTATAACCTTACCCTGCTTTGAACCTGTGTAAATGTATCCCTGACCCGTCTGCTTTGTTCCTTAGCTTTCATAGTAATACATCACTTCAAATTTGAAATCGGAGTCCAAGACAACCTCCTGGTTATTTAATTCATCTACTTCTTGAATTGCATTTTAATTAATGTAAATTTTCTCTGGAAATTGTAACATGACACAAAGTAATGTGTTATAAGGCATTCTGATTTATTTGAATGAATTAAACAGCAAAACAGCTGTTATTTGATATAGCTACCTTTCTTTCCATGACCAGTATGATAATGGACCCAAGTCTTGTTGTGTTTATGGCATTTTTGAGAGTATTTATTAGGAATTAGTCTGTCAGTTGTTCAGTGTTGGCTCTTCTTCATGCAGCTCATCCTGACATGCTTGCCATTAATTTCTGGACTGAACCAGCTATTGTTGACCTACTCTTTTCTTATTAGGGCTTCAAGGGAATTGCTGTTTTTTGCCTTGTGTTTTTGTGTTTTAAGGGTTGACCACAGGTTGCTGATATTAAGATCTGGCAAGTTTCCGTTCTACAGTTCCAGAATTTCAATTGAATTCAGTTCATTTATGTATCTCCAGATTACATAAATGTCATGTGGACGTGCAATGAAGATGGTTACTTTATAAACTGATACAGAGAGACTCATAATGACTTTATTCAGATTAACAAAACCATATAGACAAAATTAGTTAATTTAATTAATTAGTAAATAAAGACTTATTTGTTCAAAATGAAATCAAAGAAAAGTCACATTTACTTCACTACAAAAAGGCAGTTATAGAAAAATATAAATAAGAAAAAATGATCTTGTTTTGTAGCCAAATTTAGTGAGTTGTGGATTTTGCTGGTATCCCTCATCCAAAGTAAGAAACTGGCAAACCTGGACAGATGATTGTAATTATTCGCATTTTGTTACCTCTGTGATAATCATTGGTAATGTGGTCTGCTTGACTGTTGGAAGAAGTTTCTCTCAGTGGACACATGACTTTATTTAAAACAGAGCGGTGTAGAACTGAGAGAATGCCCATAAAGGATAGAACCACATAGCAATATGGTCAGGACTCCTTTTTTGTGTCAGACTATTTTCTTTTTATATAACTGTGTTCCAAAGAATAGGAAGGAGAAAAGATCTGCAGAGAAATATTTGCTTTTCCATTCATTTACATCAAGCTTCATTTTAATCTGTGCTTCATGTTCTTTGGCCAAGAGTCACTTTGTTTTTCCCACTGTGGAAACAGCTCATTTGAAAATCATTTCTTGACTATACAAGCTGTTAGATTCACTCTCATATACTTGTACGGTAATGTTAATCAAGCTCTTTTCTAGTAATAACAAAGTCCTGCCCTCCTCTGAGGGAGACCATCACTGGGGTTGCTGCACATACATGAGCTTGTTAGTCAAATGGACATCTTTATAAGTTATTATATGTTCTGGGCATTTTAAATGCTATATTCCAAAATTTAACTTGATTAAGTGTGGCGCTATGCAAGACTATGCTGATAAATGTTAATCTGAAGTGTGCCTTTTGTATCTCTGCTTCTATCTCCTTGAACCCCAGTCGGCCTCAGCAGATGGCCGCTTACACTGATGCTGGTTCTGCTGGAAGTTTCTTCCTGTTAAAAAGGAGTTTTCCTCTCCACTGTTGCTTCAAGCATACTTGGTGTGAGGGATTGCCTTCGAGTCAATTAGTCGATGCAATCAGCTGGTTTCCCTTAGATGGAGAACTTTTAATCAGTTTGACTGTATTATCTGGTTGAAATCTCTCTATAAAGTGCCTTGAGATGACATGTGAATTGGTGCTATATAAATAAAATGAGCTCAATATGATTGTAATCAAATCAAAAGTAATGTCAGGTAGCCCAGTTAAAAGTCTACGAAAACATTGCAGCCTGATTTACCTTTCTGTTATGGCAATCAGTATGATTTAGGCTTCCTTTTTAACATCGTTATCTCAGCTGGTGACATGAATGTAGGATGAAATAGAACGGTTCAATATAATTTGAGCTATGCAAGGTAAGAAGTTTAAAAGGCAAACCCAACAAGAAAGTATGGCTTTCACCAGTAAAATTTCAAGGGACATTTATTTTCTGTTGTTTTTATCTTTGTCATATCAAATATGTCTTCAGCTTATGAACAAAGTTAATTTGAAAAAACATTTTTACTCCAGTATCGGAGCCCTGTGTGTTCTAACAACAACAGCAGTCCCAAATGTTTCCATCTGTGAAAACACTACAGTAGATCCTGCAAATGTTTTGCAGAAAAGTCCATGCCTAATTTTTCTACATGTTGCAAACACATTGTCCAACCTCCATGTGTGGGAAAAGTTGCTAAAACCATAATTATGGAGCCACAGTTGATTTGAGACAAACACAAAAACACAAAAGTATTTCAAAGCAAAGATACTTTGTGGAAAAATACGATTTTTGGAAAGCTAATGGATATAAAATGACTCTTAACATGCAGTATGGAGACCTGGCTCCGCTTGCAGCGGAAAAGCACAAATTCCACTACAACAGTTTAAAGGCCTGAAAGAAAAGGACCCTGTAAAGCATTTACAATGTAAATGGAAGATTGAAAGGATGATTTAGATAAGGGAGAGTTTAACAAGTAGATAAGCTTTAACAACGTCATGATGATGGGTTTATTTCCGGTCAATCCCAAAGACATTCATATCTCCTCAACCTTTGCAGTTTGTCATGGTTTAACCACACTATTAATATATTTGAAAAGAATCACCAACCTGAAGTTATGCAAAATTGTTAACAAAAAAAACTATCATGCATTTAAAATCGCTTTAAAGATGTGGCGTGCACAATGTATTCAGCCCCCGTACGTTAATGCAGATAAATTAAATCATATGCAACAAATTGTCTATTTATTCAATAGAATCCACCTGTTTTCAGGGTAATCTTAGCAGAAATCCCAGCGTTCTGTGAAAGTATCATAGATTTGTTAGAGAATAGTGGTGAAGAAACTGGGAGGAACAGGGAGAAAGGAAAGTAGTAAAGTTGCAGAAAAGATAGGGAAAAATGACTATTTTTGAACATTTCTCAGAACAATGTTAAATCCATCATCCAAAACTGGAGGGTTTCCCAAATAGAGTAACAATCCGAAAAGTAACCAAGATGGCTGTCAAAATCTGGATGAGCAGCAGAAATCCTGGGGCTCAGGTGACAGTTTATCATGCATGCATAAAGCAAATATGACTTCTTATTGAAGTGCTTTAAGCTATTTTGAAAGAAGACCATTAGAAATTCCATTTGCAGATTATTATAAGCATAGTAGGGGACACAGCAGATATTGGAAAATAGGTTTCTGGTGAGATGAGACCAAAATAGAAGTTTTTTAAGTAAATACTAAATGCAAAAGGAGGTAGAAAACTAACACATCAAATCACACTGAGCTAATTATTCCCTACTGTAAAATGATGGCGGCATAATGCTGAGGGCATCATTTTCATTGCCATGGGCTGTAATATTGGTCAGATGGGATAAGATGATGGAGATGGCAAGTTAGAATCTGAAAAATAGGCGAGAAAAGGGTAGAACTTTGCCTTCCAATGAGAACAGTAATTAAATATTGAATGTGTTAGAATGGCCCAATCAAAGTCCAGAGCTAAATCCAATTGAGAATCTGGGATTTGGCACAAAAATGTATGTATCCATTCAAAAAAGCTTGAGGTTTTCGATAAGCAGGGTGAACGTTTTTAAAATTCAATCTATGAAGTAACGTTACAATTGTTTTAGAGAAGATTTCAAAAAGACAACATTAAATAGAAACATTTTTAATGAGAAATGTGAATTAAAAAGAAAAACAATCCCAAAGAAATACAGACATTTAGAATTCACAAACAGAAGGATGTAAAAGGAACAAGACTTCATGTGCGTTCAGTTAATATATGTAAATATAGATGGCTGCAATGGGTCAAAGCTGACGCAGTTAACCAGGGAGAAACAAGTCCAAAGGTTCCCCATGTACCTCCTCTCTCTATGCCCCACTTTTTGTTTAAAGATAGATGAACTTTGTCCAGACCGTTTCCCAACTTTCCCTCTTAACCGAACAGAACTGTGCGAGCTTTTAATCACTCACCCAGTCAAAATAAGTCAACAACATGAAGTGTTTTCAGTGCAAACAAGTTCAGCCTTTGCTCTTTGGATCCAGCCATGAATTACATGATTCCTGAGTGTTAAAGTTTATCAGCAGAAATCAGAGTGGATTAACTGCAGCCTGTCACACAGAACAACGGTCTGACAAGGGTAATTCATCTAGTCTCTTGATTAATTTATACATAGCAGCTCTGCAAATAAGCAGGATCCTTTTAAGGGGGGCTCCGTCCCCTTTGAGCTTTTATTTGTTTTACGCTTTGACCTGAGCAGATTAACAACAACTATACCCACAGACGTTCTGATGAAAGAGACAGTGTGAAGGACGAGGCACGTCAGCAGAACCACTCAACTCTGTTCATCCACAAACTCTGGTTTTAGTAGAAAGTTTTGCTGACATATTGCAGCCATGGTTTAAATCTGACATCAAGGGAGATTTGTGCTTATATATCTTTAAAAATACATCCCACTATCTCATATTATCGTAACGATAATAATGTACAAGCTGGCTCAACTAGACTGGAAACAGACGTAGATTTAATGGTGGCCCGAGACAGAGCAAACACAATGATTTTCATGTGTTTGCTCAAGGACTGTTAATGTTTACATGTTCACTGTGTGTCACAGATGTCTTCAGAAAGCAACAGCGACACCCAGTGGAAGCAGGCAGAACTTACTTTACTAACTATAAAACAATTACCTGTTGAACCCACTGAGCTCTATTTATTCACTGGATTGCTGATTGCCCATTGGTAGTACAGGGTTGAAGTGACGCAGCCATGTTGGTACTCCCTAGTTAGACCGGTCCCAATGTAAACAATATGTTCGCTACAGCATCAAACAACGATGATGTTCTAATTTTCAGAGGGACTTAAAATAAAGATAAATTCATCACTTTGATACACACTTATGGTTTCATAGCATCTGTAAGCATCTGAAGCCTCTAAATCATTTAATATAACATATTATACAAATCTATCACAAGAAAATTTATGTTTTTATGGAGCATAATAATACGGATGTGCCAAAAGGGCTAAACTGATGTACATGTAATATACACGTATTGATTACATTGTTGTGGTAATTACATCATGAAGTTTAAATTTACAGGGATGTCTTTTGTGTTTTGGCAACGATTATAGATTTTTTAATTTAAAAGTCTAATTTTATTAGTGGATTCGGCTGTAAGCAAGGGTGGATTTACCATTAGGCCAAACTAGGCAGTTGCCTAGGGCCCCAAGTTCCCATAAACTCGTTTTACATGTATGGTTAATACAGCTCTTACTTATTGTGCAGATTTATAATGTTTTCGTTAAAATACCATTAGAGTGCTTATAATACAAACAGCAGCAAACCATTTGAAAACAAATGATATGAAGAGAAGGTGTTGCCAACTTAGAGCTTTTGTCGCTATATTTAGCGACTTTTCAGACCCCTATGGCACTTTTATTACAAAAAAGTGCTTAGCACCAAATCTAGTGACAATTTTCTGCTACTGGAGACTTTGTCGACAACAAATAAAAGCAGCGAACTCTGCTCTCCAGAGCAAGTAGATTTGTAACCCCGCCTCCTGCTCTCCTCTATCTTTTCTGCTGTCATGATTCATGCAGCTTTTATTCTATACAAATGAAAATGGAGAACAGATAAGCAGATCACGCTTGTCTATAGTGAAAAGAAGGAATGTGTTATTTACTTTTGCTGTCACGTTTTTGGAAACAGAGGAAGGAGCAATCAGCTAACTGAGCTTTGTGCTTTCACTCTTTTGAGAGTCAACTGTGTACAAAACATAGAGGAAAACAACAAGAAAAGGGACAGGAAGAGAGGGAAAAAACACAGACAAATAATGTATGTCTATTCTGAAAAAAAAATCTGTATCTGTATAATAGATAAAGATTTTTGCTCTCAATCTGCAGGTTTACTAGTGGTTCCTAGAATTTCTAAAAGTAGAATGGGAGGCAGATCTTTTAGTCATCAGGCTCCTCTCCTGTGGAACCAACTACCAGTTTTAGTCTGTGAGGCAGACATCCTGTTTACTTTTAAGGGTAGGCTTCAAACTTTCCCTTTTGATAAAGCTTTTAGTTAAGAGTGGCTCAGGTTATCCTGAGCTATCTCTATAGTTATGCTGCTATAGGCTTAGACTGCTGGAGGACATAGGGACCCCTATTTCATCCTTCTGCTTCATTCTGTCCCTCTTCTCCCACTCTGCAGAATCTCTTAGTTTAATCTCTAACATTCTGCTCTCTCTGCTTTTTCTCATAGTAGCTTCACCTCATCTGTTCCTGTTTGGCTGTGACACCATCCTGGAGAGAAATATCAGCTGTGCTGCTGCCATCAACACCTTTGTTTATAGATGCTGGAGATCGGCCTGTTTTCCAGTGTAGTCCTGTTTCTCTGACTGTGACTAACTGGATGTGCTCTCTTCATCCTCTGACATGGGAAAGGGCTCAGAGCTCGTCTGCCTGGCTGTGTGTTTCCTGGACGGGGCCAACTTTTACAGCTGCTTTTTGTATCTCTGCTTCTGTCTCCTTGAACCCCAGTCGGCCTCGGAAGATGGCCATTCACACTGAGTCTGGTTCTGCTGGAGGTTTCTTACTGTTAAAGGGAGTTTTTCCTCTCCACTGTCGCTACAGGCATGCGTTGTGTGAGGGATTGTATCCGAGTCAATGCAATCAACTGGTTTTCCTTAGATAGAAAACTTTCAATCAATTTAACTGTATGATCTGGTGAACTGCAAAGTGCCTTGAGATGATAAGTGTTGTGAATTGGCGCTATATAAATAAACTGAATCAAATTGAATAATGGGTCTGTTTTATGTGTTGTCTTCCCATTGCAAAGGATCCCATACCGGTCTTTGCCTAGAGCCCCAAATTTCCTAAATCCGCCCCCGGCAGTATTTTCTAATAGCTTTTTCCGTAAGGGCCACTTATGAAGAGAGCAGAGACTGAGTCGCTTAAAACTACAATTCCCACAATGCACCGCAACATCACACAGCGAAGTTGGGAAAGTACGGCGCTGTCACAAAAGGCGTTCTGCTTTCATTTTCGCTTTTTATGCTGAGTAACTCCGAGCACTTTCCTTGTTCTGCACGGCGTCGAGTTACACGGAGAAAAAAACGAATATTTTCCAATTTTTCAAACGCTTTTGTCAAAGCTGATATACTTTTATACGCCCGCTTAAATAAGTTGTCTTTTTTTCTGGGCGGACATGACTTCTCTGGGTATTCAGCTCGAGTCGAAGAAACAGGTGAGCTCCTCAGCTAGCTTGACACGTTAAACAGAGGCTTTTTTAAGACGCTGTCCCTTTAAAACACCTGGACAGTGTGATGGCGATGCTAACAGGTGGAGTAGGAGGGGGGGGCAGGTTTAATGGAGGCGGACATTGGGGCTGCGGGGGTCAGGTGAGGTGACGGGGCTCAGGTTAGCATCACGGCCTGTAGTTCTGCTTTGGGGAATATGATCCGAGCTGACTGCAGATTGCCTTTTTAAAAATGCTCTAAAATGTTTTTAAAAATATTTTTTGTTGCAGGTGGATGAATTCTGCCAAAAGCTCACCAAGGAGGTAATGTTTTGTTTTTTAATTTCCAAAAATATTTGAACTTTTTCAGTGATTTTAATTGTTTTGTGTTGTTTTTGTTATTTTGACAGGCAGAGCAGCTGCTTTCCAAATTCTTCCCAGAGAAGATTGAACAGTTGGAGATGCTCTTGAAAGTATGATGGCATTAATGGATAATTTAATTAAACCTTTTTTTTTTCTGATCACAAATGTCCTAAAGTCGTAGGAAAATCATATTTAAATGTCAAATCATTCTGGTTAAACATGTATATAAATGTACTCTTTATCAAACCATATTGTCCCAAAAGTTAGAAAATTTCTATCCATCCATCTTCTTCCTATTATCCGGGTTCGGGTCGCGGGGGTAGCAGCTTCAGTAGGGAGGCCCAGACGTTCCTCTCCCCAGCCACTTTGGCCAGCTCTTCCGGGTGAATCCTAAGGCGCTCCCAGGCCAGCTAAGAAACATAGTTCCTCCAGCGTGTCCTGGGTCTCCCCCTGGGCCTCCTCCCGGTGGGACGTGCCTGGAACACCTCACCAGGGAGACGTCCAGGAGGCATCCTAATTAGATGCCCGAGCCACCTCAAATGGCTCCTCTCGATGTGGAGGAGCAGCGGCTCTTCTCTGAGCTCCTCACCCTATTTTTAAGGGAGAGCCCAGACACACTATGGGGAAAACTCCTTTCAGCCGCTTGTATCCGGGATCTCATTTTTTCAGTCATGACCCAAAGCTCATGACCATAGATGAGGCTACGAATGTAGATCGACCGGTAAATCGAGAGCTTTGCTCTATTTAAAAGAAATAATATCCTGTCTTAAAAACTATTGTTTTTTTTTTTTTCCATCATCTTATGCAGGACGGTTAGGCTACGTTAACACCGCAGCCTGAAGTTACCCAAATCCGATTTTTTTTTTTTTGCCCACTTGCAACCTCGATCTGATCTTTTCATGTCAGTCTGAACAACACAGATCCGATTTTTTCCAGGCCATCTGGCTATGTGGTTCTGAATCCGATACGAATCTGATCTTTTCAAATGCGACCTGCGTCTGAACGATCAGCTCGCATTCATCTGACCTAAACGCCATTAGTAACCGACAAAGGTCACTATTCTGCGTCTTGCTACACAGAAGCGGCAAGCAAAGCAAACACCATCGCGGACGATGATGCTGAGAGCAGTATTCATATTTAACCATCTTGAAAAGATTTAGGTTTTAGGGTTTGGAAAGATCGCTAGAAGCGCTCCACCACTACATCCATGTTTACTTCTGTAAACACAGAGCACGCTTACTTGTGACGTCATTGCGTCCTCTGCTGCGCATGCGGAACACATAGGCTGTATGAATGCAGTTCACACAGGAGATCACATACAAGTCGCATATATTTTGAAATGTGAACATTAACGCAAAAAAAACGGATTTCGCAAAAAAATCAGAATAGAGCATCAAGGCCTGCAGTGTGAACGTATCCTTAGTTATACGTCAGCTTGAACACCTAAATTCAGCCAATCATATATCAGCGGTTATCTGTCAAATATAAATATTAAAATATTTCATGTTTATTCTGCAATAATCACTGTTCTGTGTTGCTTTTTATTTTTCACTTTATCAATTTTTTTTGTCAGACATCTTTTAGCTGTGATGACCTTGCATCCCTGAAGGCTCCTCTGGACATCCCAATACCAGATCCTGCAAAGGAGGAGGCCAAACGCAAGAAGAAGGAGGAGGTCAGTCCTTACCCTCCAGCTGATAATCAGAACCAAAATAATTGATTCAACAAAAAAGCAGGCTGGCTGAAATCCCCTATATTCAATACTTTTTTTGTTAAATGTATCTCACCCTTAAACATCTTTGGAATATAACTTTCTGATTGAAATCTTCCACACTTTTTCTTTAGCTTTAAAAGGAGTCCTTGATTACCATGGAAACTAATCAGTGTAAAACCTCTCAAAAGATGTGTGGGCTTTTTATTTTAGATGATGCATAATGCCTCTTCATCATTTAATTTGGCATTTTAAAGTCTTGGCAGAAGCAATCAAGATCGTCAAAAAAAAAAGAAAAAAGCCTTCCTAATATTAGCATCACTGATTGTAATGAATATTGCATTCCATCAGGAATATCAAAATAGTTTCTAATAGCATACCTGATGTCTTCATTACTTAAAATATGTGAATAAAAATGAAAGGTACTACAAATATTGTCTGTATCTCTAGTTTATTTAGCTCAGTAGCCACAAAAGAGTAAGCACACCATTAAAAAAAGATTTGACAAGAGGCTTTATTTTCTTGTGCTGCAGAAGGAAGCAAAGGAGGGGAAGAAGGACAAGGAAGGCGAGAAGGAGAAGGAAGAGGAGGAATCAGGTAAACGGGAACCCAAGAGGAAAAAAAAACACTGCTTTATCAGTTTCAGTGTTCATAACCAACAAACCATTTCAGATGTTCTTTCATATCACAGCTGCAGCTTTCACTCTATTTCATGGGTGTAAACAGACCAAGATGGTGTTCAAATTAAACTGCACAACCTCAGACACCGACTGACCATTTGCCAGCATAGATTTGGTTGCATTTAACTTCTCCAGCTTCCTTGTCTGTCAGTAAGGAAGAGCATTCCCTCAGCATGATGCTGCCTCAAACAGATTCTGACGTGTTCAGAGTGAAGTGTGACTTATTATCTAGTTATTACCTTCTTGTTCTGCTCCTCCACAAGCAGCGGATAATAGTGATTTATCACGCACATCAGGAGTGTATTTTATCACCGTGACCACTGGAAGGGAAGTGGTGAAGGGGAAATGGGTACTTTTCCAAGACTCTGCTTACTGCTGGTTGAGGTTATGAAGAGATGAGAATGGGTGGCTCTATTGTAGCTTCACTAAAGGTTAGCTGTGTAATTCTAAGTCTTCAATGGTCGTCTGCCCCTCAGGGCCTCCTTGTGGTCCCATCTGCAGCAACGAGAGAGTGGAGAGTCTTTTGAATGAGGTCAAACCTGAGATCCAGACCCTGAAGGAGAAGCTGAACACAGTCAGTCTGTTTTTCCTTTATTCTTACAGCTTTACTATGTGGCTGCCTTCTATGTTTTATATGATATTTAAGTGTTAATTGATGCCCTATGGTGGGATTTGACATATTTGTCTTTCCCTGTCAGGTTTCCATGTGGGTCCAACTTCAGATTCCCAGAATCGAGGATGGTAACAACTTTGGAGTGGCTGTACAGGTTGGTAACTAATGATGGAAAGGTGAAGTCACCATCTTACCTTAAAGTAGGTTTGTTCTGTGGACGCTGAGTTTTAAACGTTAAATCTGGTCTAACAGGAGAAAGTGTTTGAGCTGCTGACCAACACACGCACCAAGATCGAGGCCTTCCAGACCCAGATTTCTAAGTAAGCTCCAGCTGTGTGGCGGGTTTTAGTTTTGGCATGTGATCAGAAGAATCCCATGTGATCTTTTCTGTCTCTGGGCTTTTTCTTTCCTGTCAGTTCCGTGTGTGGAGCTGCTATCGTTTCAGACGAAGCACAGAAACCACAACAAGAACTCTGTCTGTGTCTAATTAGATGCATTTCTGTTTCCTCAGCTTTCATTTAGAAACACTCAGGTTTGTAAATCCACAGATATAAACATGATTAAAATAGAAGTGCCTCAGTTTGATGCTCTATAGCCAACTTTATAAAAGAGTATTCAGACTACTTTTGTTTTAATTTTGATATATAATCTTCAGCAAATGTATAAAATAAAAATTATAGCTGAATAGATAACAGTCCAAAACTAAAACTAAGGTAAACATACCAACTTCTAATTGTAGAACTGTTTAAACCTAAATAAATACCTGCTGCATTCAGTATTATAAATAATTTTTAGGTCTTATTTTATGGAATATTAGACCTTTTTTCCTATCATAGTTTTTAATGGTGAATTTAGATAAAGTAAGCTAGTATGGAGGATTAACGGGAACAAAATTAAATTAATACAGCATTAAACAAACAGGGGTAAATGTTTAATGAAATAGATATATCATTAAATAATTCAATGTACCATTTATTTATAAATTGTTAAATATTAAAATCACTTGTTAAGAAATGTATCTATTAAATTATGACATTAGCTATTTTTAAATATAAATGTAATAACATTTGCATTTTATTTTGGTATCTCTTTAATCCTTCTGCACAGTAGCTCATGACCTTATTTTAACTGTCAACTTCACCCATCAAACTTACAACTTCCATTCAAACTGAAGCAGCCCTAGTCCCGCCTCCCCCACTATGATGAATGGGTGAGAGTTAAAATTAACTCATGGAGCACTTTAGTACAGGAACATAAAATAATAATTGATTCACTTCGTCAAATTTAATTAATATAGTAATTTGAGTAATTATATATTCAGAAAATAAACTATACTTATTTTCAGTTTTATAAATGAATTTACATTAAATGTGCAGTAGGAGATCTTTTCTGACACATTTTTTTTACCATGTGGCTTAGAGATCTCCCCACAGCCGCACAGCAAGCAGTGAAAGAGAAGGTCTGGAAGTGAAACTAAAATAAATGCTCCCCGCTACAGTAAGAATTAAATGAGTAACGTCCACCAATCACAAAACGCGGTCCGTGGTTCACGATTGGTTCCTGACACGTCAATCATGGTCGTCTTCTCCCTCCCCCCTGTGCGTGTACCCTTACACATGAATGAATCGACCTTGTGGCGTCCTGCTCGTGCAGGACATGGCTGGAAGCTAGCCACTGTTATGCTACGTTCACAAGAGCAGCAAAAAAGAAAAAAGAAAAAATTGCGTCCTGCTTCATTTTTTATGCTTGTACAAGTTTAGTTCTGATGCGCGGCTGAAGCATCTCTGTTACTCTAGCTGTGCGGTGGGCGGAGCTACCCTATCCTTTCTTTGCCTGTAACAATGGCAGCTATATTTACTGTGATCAGTGAGTAAAAAGTAGTTTGAATTTATTTTGAAGTGAGAAAGTCCACCTGAAAACATGGTCAGTGCAGTCAGTTCATCCAGATTACAATCCTGCCTTCAAATCAGACCCCCGTACATCAGCGGTGCGTTGTCACTAGGAATCCCATTCAGCAGCGGCCTGATCGCCTCTTCGCAGTTTGCCGCGGCGGCTGGAAGGCGGTTTTCATGTACGTAATCCAAACTTCAGGCACCAGGATGATAAAAGCGAACATTTTGCCGGCAGATTTCGACTGTTTCACAGGAGTGAGCATGGCGCTCTGCATCATCAGTGCTGCCTGTCTCCCTGCCAGTTCCCAGATCAGAGACGCGCTGCTCCTGCTGCTCTAGATGAGCTGCGGGACCTTTTGCTGCACCGTGTTGCGCATCAACCATTGACTTTGCATGTAAACTAGCTGCTTTTGCTGCCTCTGCTGCTTTAGGTGTGAACGTAGCATTATGCTTTTGTTAGCTCGTGTCACGAGCACTCGGTCTCTGCTTGTTTCGTTCTCGATCTGATCCGAACACCTCGACAGACAGCTTGTGCGGTCATGTATTTTGAAGGCATGGTATCGAGGGGTGGTCTGAAGGGAGAGGCATGGTTGTGTATTTACTAAAATATAGTTTGCTTGAACCGTTTTTCCAAAATGTCGTACGGCACCTTTAAATAATTATTTCATAAGTTAATTATTTAATGTATTGTGGCACTCTTCTCCCTCCATAAGCCAATACTTGTTTAATTATTAAAGACTGCTACTAAATCCTCATATCTGTAGTTTAGAAACAGTTTCTCTGTAATAAGAGATGAGTGAATTAGTCCATCCTGTGTACGGCTGGTGAAAAATGCAGGAAATGCTGCAGCATTCTAAACTTTTTAGCTGTTTTTAAATATTAAACTTTTTTTAAACCCTACAATCTTTTTTTTATTTTTTTTTTATTGAATTCATAAGCACAATCTTAATGCTGCACAGTCCAAAGTCAGTTTCCTGATATGTTTATATGAAGCGAGCTAATAAAGCGCATTCTGGTTCTTGTAACTAGCAGCGCTTACACTTCTGAAAGCAGAGATTCGACACTTTAAGTGTCTTTAAGTCTTTTTTTTTTTCTTAAAATAAGTGCATTTGTTCTTGAATTGAGGAGGAAAAAGAGAAATTTTGTCAACCCAACAGGATTATTTACACTTAAAATAAGTAGATACAATTGCATTGTCTTATTTCAAGTGCATATTATCTAATTATGAGCAAAAATACTAATTCCATTAGCAAACTATCTAATTTACCTACTAAAAAATAAGCTCCAGTGGAGCGTAAAGCTGTTGTTGTAGAAAATAATACAAAATAGAAGTCTTCTGTGTTAAGCAGATGTTGCACTCAAAATGTAGATCAGAGATGTTTTGTTGTTTTTTTAAGAGTAAAAGTTTATTATCCTCTGTTCTTTGCTGTGGCAGGTATTACAGTGAGAGAGGCGATGCTGTGGCCAAGGCCTCCAAACAGCCCCATGTGGTCAGTATCTGTTTATCTGCATCATTAAGGTTTTAAGAGTAGCACATGATTTGTTTTCTATCCTTTCATGTTCCAACCAGAAACCCTATTGTTTCCTTAGGACCAAATGTGATAGAAATGACTGGAAAATATGTAGTTTTAACTTTTGTATTTATTTTTTTTAACAAATCTGTAAAGCGTGGTGTGGATTTCCCATTGATCTACTCCCTTACTCATGAATCCAATTTTTCTGTGAAGTCCTCTGAGCAGCACCATGAGGAGCAGAGAACACAGCAGGCGGGTCAGGAGGAACGTTGAAGATATTAAAGCAAAGTTACAGCTTAACTGACAGGCGGGACATTAAGAGCAGGGAACAGGGAGCTGCAGGTGGAAGAATGCGTTGACGGGACAAACGAACAGGAAAAGGTGTTGATGATTGAGAGACGCTGACCTTTAAACAATATACCATAAAACAAAACACCTTTCAGATTCATTTTTTTTTTTTGTTACCTCAGATGTCTGAACATGGCTGTAAATCAGGCTTTGTTTCAGCACCCCTTCCATCTGCATGCACAACTGTTTTCTTCTTTTTTTATTCTAACCTGACCGCCTCTTTGTGCTGCAGGGAGACTACAGACAGCTGGTACATGAACTGGACCAGTATCAGTACACCGAGCTTCGTCTGGTGGTCTTGGACATCCGCTACACATACGTAAGACCCCCCCACCTTATCGGTGTGATTAAAAAAGGCTGAGTGGACGCTGTAAATCACATGTATTAGACAGGAAGCACCAGCTGCTGTGTTTTGGACGGGATGTCCAGCATGTAAATGGCGTCCAAGCAGAGAGACGGCGGTGAAGTGGTTTCCATTTGTTGTTAATAGCGAGGCAATTAAACTAATTGCTGCGCTCGTGCTGGATTAATGAGTCCTCCATGTTCTGTCCATTAACCCTTGCTTCTCGTCCCCTCGGTCATTGTCTTCCTGCGTTTGATGCTGGTGATAAAGGAGGCTGTGATAAAAGGGACTGTTGGACCTGACCACAGCTCCTTGTGTCTCATGTCTGGGTGATTTCATCCTGTTATGTCGATTCTTTCTCTCTCTCTCTGCAGGCGGTGCTGTTTGACATCATTAACAAGAACTATGACAAGATTAAAAAGCCCAGAGGAGACGGGAAGGCTCTCATCTACTGAGGCGGGCGACTTGCTTCTTTTTTTTTTTATCTTAAAACAAGCGACTGCTACTGTTGTATAACACTGATTAAGTTCCAAAATACATGTCCTGACAGAAATTAGCTTGTTCTCTCCAAGTGATGCATGCATTTTGTTTCAGATTACAAAAATAAAGCAACAAGAATCTCCGTAGTCTGCTGTGTTTAATTTTAAAACCCTTAAACTAGTTTGAGTGTTTATCAGAGTCTGTGCTGCTAAAAAGGCCGTCTCCTGGTAAACCGGGGGACCAGTGACTGGGTGCCAGGCGGTACCATCCCTGATAAAGGCCCCTCCACCCCAGGTAGCCCAGAGCTCCTCCCAGCTGCTGAGAAGGCCATGCAGGGAAGTATGCAAGCATGCACAGAAGCAAGACCATCCAGATAAAGAGCAGAAGCACACACAGGAGGAAGAGGACTCTCAGGGGAGCGCTAGGAGGCCTGTGAAGACGCTTCTCGTGTTCCAGGTGACGACCAAAGACGGAGAGCTCCTCCACAATCAGCAGGCAGCACAGGCAGAGGATGAGCGTTTCCTGGGAAACCTCATAGCCTCTCCACGTCATGTTGGCTTTGAGGCAGGAGGCCTTGGTTTGATCCTCATGTAGGAGCAGCAGAGGCTGAGCGGGGGTGGAGGAGCTCTGGCCGTCCTGCACAGGGGCCAGAGGTTCGTAGCAGGCCCCGGCCGCGTCCTCCAGCAGGGTCACAAGGCGCCGACAGCCCCACCACAGCACGCCCGAGAGCGCCATCCGAGAGAGGTGGCGAAGGGTGAGGGAGATGGAGCGGCAGGCCGAGAAGGAGAGGAGCACGACGAAGGAGCCTGTGAGGACGAAGGTCCAACCCCAGGTAGACCTGAGGAACTTCCTGTAAGAGGGAGGTGAACCAGAACCGTTAGGGGAGAAGGTATCGATCAAAACCCTGAAAAAAATCAATGGGTTGATTTTAAAAGAAAAATCTGTTTTGGTTCGATCTAAAAAACCTGATTCAGCACCAAACCGAGATCATTAAGCAATTTTATATGAGCAGTGGGAAGTTTGACTGAGTTTTCTTAATGTAATTATTGTTGGTAGGAAGTTAAAATGAATTTTAAAAGTGATAATTGAGTTCTCAGGTTTGATTGTTTTATGGGATTTATATAATCCACACAAGATTATAAAGAGACCTCAAACATATTTACATGATGGTTCACCCCTTCATGTCCAGGAGGTTTAGGTATAAACTATTAATTTCTGTCCCCAATGAGGAACATTTCACTTCTTTCACTTTCATTTCACCTAACCCTAACTTTTAACTGTGAAAGGGGTCAAGGAAGCAGCTCCTGAACTAAAATCATCTTTTAGCCCGAATGAAATCTGCAGCTGTTAGGATGAACTATTGTAGGTGAAGCTGAAAGTCACAGTTAAAGGTTGGACATGGCAACAATAATTAAAAAATTTAATTTTGTCTTTGTTTGATTTAAACAGGTTGGCAAGACAATTTACTGACAAAATAAGATGATTTTAAAATAACACACACCATTATCTTATTTCATATGAATATTATCTAATTAGCTTACAAATATGAATTTCTTTGGCATAACATCTTATTTACATGCTCAGTTGAAGGACAAACATGCTTATTTCAAGAAATTACTTATTTTTGTTTTTTGGAAGTAAGGTAGTGATAATTTATCATATCTTTACTTAAGTAAAGG